TTCCGGGTTCATGAGATCCCAGATTGCTTGGCAGAGGGTATAATGTGAACTCTGCTATTGTGGGACTGTGACAGCCCAGACAATCCTGGCTTAATCAAGACATACAGTTAAGGAAATCCCTTTGCTGTTTCCAGGGTGGTCCTCTGGGCCAGATCTAAGCACCCCATGAGCTGGATCCAGCCCATGGGTCTTGAGATTGACACCAGAGGTGGTATTCAGTAAGTTCTGACAGGTTCTGGAGAACCAGTAGCAGAAATTTTGAGTAGTTTAGAATACCACCTCTGACTGGCCCCACCCCCATCTATTCTCTGCCTCCTTCCCCTGGAGTGGGGTGGGAATGGAGATTTTACAGTATCCTTCCCATGCCACGCCCACCAAGCCATGCCCACGGAACCGGTACTAAAAACAATTGAATCCCACCACTGATTGACACCCCTGAGTTAGGGAAAGAGTGATCATGTCATGACCAAAAAAGGACATAATACAGCACCATTTCTTGGCATTTTGAATGCTTCCTCTTAGGAGCTGAATTTATTCTTATTTATACTGCCAGGTCTTATCATCCATGAACCTCCTGAGAGTAAAAACACATAATGTGACAGGACACACCAAACCTTTTAGCTGCGAGAACAAAAGATTCTCGGATTTATGCAAAGTGACGAGGCGTTTTAATTTGGCGCTTCAACCAGCATTTTCAGCATGTGGAATCCTTAATGTGTGAATGCTTTGGCTCTCATTATTCCAAAACGTGTTTTTTTCTTTTGCTCCCTTTGTTGATCTCAGGGACTATTTTCTTTTAGCTGCATCGGCAACAAAGTATAAGGCAAACATTAATTTCTTCCTAAAAGGGGTAGAACTGTTTCTGTAATCTCATCCCTCAAAGGCAAATGTATCTAATCTGAAATGGCTATTTTCAGTTAGCATGAAGTATATTGGACTCGTTGAGGTACTATTTGGCTTAGAGGGCTACGTAAAGGCCTGTGAGGGGCGCAATTATGGTGGAATACACCTTTTTGTGGGGTTGGTCATGCCACTGCAGTGACTTAAATAGTCTCAAGCCAAGTTGGATTTGTAGTTCTTTGGAAGAACAGATAGCGACACTGAAGCTCAAATACTTTGGCCACCAAATGAGAAGAGAGGGGTCATTGGAAAAGATCCAGAAGCTGGGAAAGATAGAAGACAAAAGGAGGGGACGTCAGAGGATGAGAGGCTTAGATAGTGTCATTGATGCAATGATTATGAATTTGGGCAGGAGACAGTGGTGGGTGGAGGACCTGGTGTGGTCTGGCTCATGGGATTGTGAAGTGTCAGAAACAACTCAGCAACTTGAATAATAAATGTAGGATTAGAGGAATACCAACAGAAGAAGGCTTGGAATGGTGGCCAGTTGCTATTGGGCTTCATTGCAGTTGTCCTTTAAATATATATTCTAGATCAGGGGTGTCAAACTCAATTTCATTGAGGGCTACATCAGAGTTGAATTTGACCTCAGAGGGGCGAGTGCGTATGGCCAGGGTGGGCATGGCCAGCTCAACATCCTGCAGCCCACGCATGGCCCTTCCGAGCTCCACTTCAGCTGAGACGGCCTCCTGTAGCCCTCCGCCAGTGAAAACGGAGCCCAGGAGGGCCATGCGTAGGCTACAGGATATCAAGCTGACCATGCCCACCCAAGCTCCATTTTCGCTGGCAGAGGCACCATGGGCCAGTCCTTCACTGTTTCCAGGGTGGCCCCATGGGCCAGATCTAAGCAACCCATGGACCGGATCTGGCCCACGAGCCTTGAGTTTGACACCTCTGTTCTAGATTCAAATTTTCTGTGAGATGTTCAGTGGATTCTTGAGCAACATTGCCTCGACTTCTACCTGTCTAATCCTGCTTGAAAACAATCAAAACAGTTGTCTTAAATAGATGCAAGCCCATTTTCCTTCCACAAGTTATGCTGGAAGAGGCAGCTGACCTCCGTTTGTCTAGGGAATGGTCCCAACGTGATCTATCACACTCACTCCTCCTGGGGTGAGAAGCTGAATACACAAACTGAGGCTTATTGCTTGTATAGATGAAGGATGGATGAAATCAAAGAGAGATCCTTTCCATTTCCATTTTGACATGCGCGTAGGCCCAATGTTCTCAAGATGCAGATTGAAATGGGCAGGCGTTCATTTTCACAAAGCTGCCTTTGAGTATTTGACGCGGGTGTGAAATTTTTGCTCAGAGCTGCAAGTTGCTCGGTATGAAATGAATCATTCTATTATTTAAGTGGCACATCTCGACAGAAAGAGCTTTTGGGTTGACAGGTGAACAAGTATATCTTCAGTGACCCAGTTAAAACATCTTCTGAAGGTTGAACCCGAGATGTTTTGTTGCTGAATGACAGGGTGTTTTTTTTTTTGACAGATCTTGATGGCAAGGAGTTAAATACATACCTGGCCTCATCTATTTTATTCTCCAGAGTTGATGGTACTTTGGGATGTGTAGATATTAAAGATTAACACAATCAATTAGCATGTAATCTAATCATCTCTTATGTCACTGGAGAGTTGACTCAATTCCATCTAACCACTTTTTGCAACTTGTAAAGAAGGTGTTAAACCTGTTCTGCGCTGAGGTTTGCATGGTATTTTGAAGCATGGAGTTCATATGATCCAACACTATACATATAAACAGACTCAGCTGCATTAACACAACGATTTTATGATTATTTTAATGAGTTGGCTTTTTAAAGCAACTACATCTTTTTTCCCCAAGCTTGTTTAGAAACCTGGGAAAAGACACAGCTGCTTTAAAGAGATGCTTTGCTCGCTCTTTTATGCATTCCAAATGCCTTTTAAAAATCATTTTCAAAGGATGGCCAGCCTTGATATATATGTGGTAATCTGAATCAGAAGTTTCCTTTTTGGGATATTCCAGATATTCCTTGGTCCAAGGAAGAACCTTCAATTTAATGGTGGAACATAGTTGTTAAAGTATATTTGCAAGCAAAAAGGACTTGATTCCAAGTGACAATAAAAATCCTGAAAACTCATTCCTGATCAGATGATGATGTCGAGGATGGGTCATTATCAGCCACCTCTTTCTTAATACTTTATTTATATTATTATTAGCAAGTGAAACCCTCCCCCAAGAAGGGTGCAATAAAATTTCAAATCACAAAATGCAATTAAAAACAGGGACAAGATCAAAACAGGCTATTTTTAAACTCTTTTTTCCCCCAATTCAGGTAGGAATAGGGTACTACTTTTTACATTAGTTTAGCACTGTTTCATTATAGATTTTTTTTCTCAACAATTCAGATCTGTTGTGCTATTGTTTTCTCATTTCTGCTTCCTCCATCTGAAAGCAGGCAGAGAGGAGATATTGGAAAAATTATATTGCTGTGAAACCTGTCAATCACCTGGATGGAACTGTGCAGGCTTTAATATCTTCTAAAGGGTAGACCATTCCTGTTATTTTCATCCCGTTCAACTAGAAAGTGAAGTACTTGTAGTTACCTGGATTATATGGTCTAGGATCAAATCTTTTCTTAAATCTCAAATTTAGATGTTGCCACTTTCAGATTTTGAATTCAGATTGAATCTTGACTGATTCATTCACCCTTACTATCTAATCCAAGGATCTTCAATCTTGGCAACTTTAAGACTTGTGGACTTTGGCTCCCAGAATTCCCCAGCCAGCCAATTCTGGGAGTTGAAGTCCACAAGTCTTAAAGTTGCCAAGTTTGGAGACCTCTGATCTAATCCTTTAAATCAAAGCTTCTCAACCTTGGTGACTTTAAGATGTGTAGACTTCAACTCCAAGAACATGCTAGTTGGGGAATTTTAGGAGTTGAAGTCCACACCTCTTAAAGTTGCCAAAGTTGAAAAACATTGCCTTAAATAATTCCAGTATTATCTTTTTCCCATAAAACTTTTAGTGTAACCCGATGGAGTATTTTCAATAGAAAGAGAAAGAGAAGGTGTACGTGATATTATGGGAAATAAAAATTGAGATAATTTCCCCTTATTTCAATACAGAAGACCTTCTTATCCACACAGGTCAAAAAGAACAAAGACACATTATAACGTAACTGCAAAAGAGCAGTTAAATGTAGATTACCTTTAAAACACTCCATTTTCAAATGCATTGAATATATTTTTTATTCCTGACCATTGCATTCTCAAGTACTGTAGCTTTATATTCTTGTTAATGAATTTCTATATTTACAGAAGAAAGAAAGAGAAATAGATTGCTTGATGGAGTTTTCAAAGAGAGGTTTAGTCACAGTTTTCTTTCTCAATAATCTTTCAAAAGCAAGGATGTGCTATTTATCAGCCATAGAATTTCAGCTTTACTCTGGAATGTCATCTTATCCATCATTTGAGTGCTTTGAATAATCAATAGCAACTAGACTAACGCTTAAAATTAAGGAAAAGGAAGAAACTGAATACTTTCTAACATGGGACTCATTTTATCAATAGTTAACCAATAAAAACAGAAGTTAGAAACATGGAAATATAAGAGAAGGACTAATGCTACAAGGAAGGATTGCTAAAATGTATTATTATTATTATTATTATTATTATTATTATTATTATTATTATTATTATTATTATTTAACTAATGCCAATGTAATGAACAGTATTGTAACATTATGACTATTATTTCCTAAAATTATTTGTACCCATACAACACACTGTTTATTTAGAAACTAAACTTTTATATGTAATAAAAAAAAGTTAAAAAAGAATAATCAATAGGAACAGCACTTAGACTTATATACTACATCATAGTGCTTTACAGCTCTCTCTAACCCCAACAATCATTTTACCAACCTCAGAAGGACGGAAGGCTGAGTCAAACTTGAAGTGGTCAGGATCGAATTGCTGGCAGTGGGCAGAATCAGCCTGCAATTCTGCATTCTAACCACTGCGCCACTCCAGCTCTTAACGCCTTACACAGATTTATTTTCATGCTGGTGGTGATTTGTTTAACGGTACTAACATTCTTTCTTTCTTAATTTTGAGTTCCAAGCCACTGTCAAAGAAGGCAGCACTGGTGTGATTGTGAATCTAACCGTTGAAGATCGAGACGACCCGGCCACAGCTGCATGGAAGGCAGTTTACACCATCATCAATGGCAATCCAGCCCAGAGCTTCAAAATCCACACCAATGCCGAGAACAATGAAGGGATGTTGTCAGTTGTCAAGGTAAGGAGGATAGACAGGAGCAAGGTACCAACTTCAGCAGCTACACTGTGAACCTAATTTCATATATTGTTCTTCACTCTTCTGGGCCAGACTGCTCCGAGTGACGTCCTCTTAGATGTGTTGAGTTCCATCAACTCAGCCGATAGATGTCACTGGGGAAAATTGCTTTCAAGGATATCCAGTATCCACATCAACGGTGGGATTCAATTTTTTTTACTACCGGTTCTGTGGGTGTGGCTTGGTAGGTGTGGCTTGACCTGGTGGCGTGGCCTGGTGGGCGTGGCAGGGGAAGGATGCTGCAAAATCACCATTCCCTCCCCACCCCACTAACCTTCTTTCCAGTTCCATTCTCCTGCGCAGGGCAACCAAAGAAGACCGAGCCGATCAGCTGGGACTCAATGGGAGGCAGAGAATAGATGGGGCGGGGCCAGTCAGAGGTGGTTTTGACTGGTTCTCCAAACTACTAAAAGTTTCCATTACTGGTTCCCCAAAACTGGTCAGAACCTGCTGAATACCACCTCTGATCCACGTTCTCCTGATTCTCCTCACTTAGAATCATAGTGTCAACTCATAAAATATTCCTATGCCTGTTTTGGTAGTTGCCATAAAAAGGGGGGATGAAGGAAATCTGGAAGAGGAGTGCAGCAGTTTAAAAGCAAAAATACATTCCAACTCTTTATCTTTAAAAAGAGTGTAACTAAAATACCAGGGCTTTTGCCCGTGAATATATTTAATTGGAGAATGTGAACAATGACACCCAGCCCGTGAATGTGCTCAATTGGAGAATCTGATTTATGACACACCCAGGGAGGAGAGGGGAAACAGGGTCATAGGAGACTGTAAATTACATATGCCAGAGTTGGCTTCATACAGGGCAGCGCCAGTATGTCGCCTCTAATGAATCCTTTGAAGTTTCTTGAAGTTTGGCTTGAGAATTGTAATTTAATTAGGGCAATTGCTGGAATCCTGACACATAGACTCATTGGGCTTGAAGGGACCCTGAAGGTCTTCTAGCCCATCCCCCTACACAAGGCAAGAGTCCTTATACCATCCTGGACAAATGGTTGTCCAAACATTTCTTGAAAACCTCCAGCGATGGTGCAATTCTTCGTTTTCTCCTACCAGAACCAAGGACAGTACAGGTTAGACCCGGACTTAATTGGGACTGGAAATCCCACCACTAAGCAGGGTGGTTGTTAAGGGAACCAAGCCCTATTTTACAAACCTTTTTTTTGCTGAAGTTGTTACCCCTGTAGTCATTAAGTGAATCCCATGGTTGTTAAGAGAATCTGGTTTCCCCCCATTGATTTCACTTGTCGGAAGCTGGCTAGGAAATTCACAAATGGCAATCAGGTAACCCCGGGATGCTGCAACCCCATAAATACATGCCAGTTGCTAAGCAACTGAAGTTGGACCATGTGGCCGTGGGAATGCTTGATGGACTGCTTATTAGCCACTGTTTCCAGCACCACTGTAACTTCAAACAGCCACGTAAAAAAATGATCATTTAGTTGAGGACAACCTGCACCTAAAATGTCTCTTTGTGGAATCCAATCCCAAATAAAGTCCCAAAGGTGCTTTATTTTTTCAAGAGGCAACTGGACTTTCTGGTTTTTCTTTGAAGACGTTTCGCTTCTCATCCAAGAAACCTCTTCCGCTCCAATTGGAGGGTGGGGAATGGAAGGATCCGGTCAGAGCTGAAGACGCTTCTTGGATGAGAAGCAAAACGTCTTCCAAGAACAGGCTGTCAGGATTCCGGCAGTCACCCCAATGAAATCATGAGTCTCGAGCCAAACTTCCAAAATTTCAAAAGGATTTATCGGGAGTTAATATGCTGGCACTGCCTGGGTGTAGCCAACTCTGAGACACATCATTCATTGTCACCCTTGAGCCTGGTTTCCCCCCACCCCCTGGGTGTATCATAATTCATATTCTCCAATGGGACACATCCATAGCCCAGAGTCATCAATCACGCTCTCCAGTTAGATATTTGCATGGCAGAAACTTCAGTCACCTAGTTACTATCTTTGAAAAACTATTTATGGAATGCACTTTCGATTTCCAAGCTGCCGCACTGCTGTTTCAAAACCCCTTTCCCCGCTCCCTTTCTGTTGGCAACTCTGAAAAGACTATAGAAATATTTTATGAGTTGACACAAGCAGAAAGTCCAGTTGCCTCTTGGAAAAGCACCTTTGGGACAACCATGACCTGGAGGATTGAGAAGCTCCATAGACATTTATTCAATGAAGTGGATTAAGGTCCATAAAAGCTTATATGAAAGTAAATGGGACAGTCTCTAGGTTGCCACAAGATCTCTTAAATGAGAATAAATGGGTCTCCTTATCTGCGGGGAACTTGTGTGGCAAGTACAAGAGTACAGAGTAAAGCTGATGGGCGCGAATGTGGACAATACTATACGTTCATGTCTTTCAGCCTTTGGATTATGAGATCTCAGCCTTCCACACGCTCCTGATCAAAGTAGAAAATGAAGACCTCCTGGTTCCGGATGTCCTGTATGACACCAGCTCCACAGCCACTGTTCAGATCACAGTTCTAGATGTTAACGAGGGGCCCATTTTCCACCCTAATCCAATGGTTGTCACCAAACAAGAGAACATCCCCATTGGAAGTGTTGTCTTAACAGTTAATGCCACTGATCCAGACACTTTGCAGCATCAAACTATAAGGTGAGTGGAAGATTTTGAAATCTCCTTTTACTACTCCTTTTACTACTGCTGCTGCTACTACTACTACAGGACACCCATATTTGGTGGTTTTGATGTTCCAGGTTTTCTCCATTCAGTGGCTGGCAACCATGGACCAGTAATAGTGGTACTACTAGGAATAGAATGGAATGGAATGGAATGGAATGGAATGGAATGGAATAGAATAGAATAGAATAGAATAGAATAGAATAGAATAGAATAGAATAGAATAGAATTCTTTATTAGCCAAGTGTGATTGGATACACAAGGAATTTGTCTTGGTGCAGATGCTCTCAGTGTACCTAAAAGAAAAGATTCATTTGTCAAGAGTCAAGAATCATAAGGTACAACACTTAATAATAGTCATAGGGTACATAGGGTAATAATAGTCATAGGGTAGTAGTAGTAGTACCACTATTACTATTTCTTGAATTTGTTTTCCAAAACAGCAAAACCCATCCCAAATAGCCAACATCCTGTGTTCTTAAGCATTTTCAAAAGCCATCTGTTAAATCTGTTAAATGTTGATCACTCCTCCAAGGAAGAGTATGGGTTGTGACATTTGGCCCCTGCCTTATGTTTGAAAACTAAGGAATCCAAATAAAGGCGAATAATATACATGTCCCAGGATAATATTGCCGGATCCAATCTGGGTCGGTCCCTGGGACCAGAAATTTACTATTTCGGATTAGGACCCATCCTCAGGAAAATTCTCTCTCACCCTAGCTCTTTATCATTCTAAAGCTCTTGCCAATTTCAGTTCTTCTTCTCATTCTCTCCCATTTTTCCCCCACCCACCCTTTTTCACTATTATGTTGCAAATGCAAAATTGCAGCCAGTAGTCATGGAAAGTTCAGAAATGCTCATTAGCTTTGCAAATCATTTAGCCCAGACAGAGAGAAAGGCAGAAATCTCCTTGGCTATATACCATAAGTTGAAATCTTCACAGGGTTAGCCGCCTTGAATAACAATGGGGCAGCAGCTTGAAAGAAACATCTTAGGGATCATGACATCGCTTAGACCAGCTTGTACCACCAATATTGGAACGAGACTTTTTTTCCGTTCATTCCCCAGATATGATGTTTTGTTTGCCTCGGGCTGAGAAAGGAGCAATGGTTTGCAACATGAAAAACAAGTTCAGGAGGCTTAGATGGATTCCACTTTCAAAGGAATATAGTTGCTAAGGCCATGAGTAGAACCAGAGAGAAGTGGTGGGAATATGAAAGAAATTGAGAATTGATAGAAGAGAAAATGCATAGCTCAGGGATGAACTGAGGAATCCTTGGTACTTTGTGAGCTTGGTTGATTTTTTGCGGACATTTCATGACCCAACTAGGTAGCATCATCAGTGTTAGTAGGGAGCGAGGTTTGCTCTCATTTTATATACTAGTGACTATCCAGTGTTGGTGTAAATATTGACAAGGCAATTCTTTCTTTCATGGATCTTCGCTTATAGTGTTGTGTGCCCAGCTTCACTGCTAGATAATTTGATTCCAAGGTCAAGGTGAATTGTCCTAAGGAATATGACCAAACAGTGTAAGTTGAAATTTTTCCCCAGCTTCCTGAGTTAAGTAAAGAATTTCCATCTTCTGTTAATATAGAATTGGGACTCGATTAAATTAATCTTAATGCCAGTTTATGGTGTAGATGCTATTTTTCTTTAAACAAGGCAAAAAAAAGCAACCCTAGTATGTCGCAAACTATTTATAATTTTGCCTTTTAATCCAAACTAACAGTTAATCCCGAACTTTGATTTCTTCATCCGAGATTGCATCAAAATGAAGAGTTTAATTTTACCTGCCTGAAATTCTAATCAAAACTTTTTGGTGTGTGTGTGTGTGTGTGTGTGTGTGTGTGTGTGTGAGAGAGAGAGAGAGAGAGAGAGAGAGAGAGAGAGAGAGAGAGAGAGAGAGAGAACTTCAAGGCCAAATGCAATAACAGTTTCTACCCTGGGAAATTAAAAAACAGCCTAATTCTGAAAAATCCATTATTAACAGTAAGTCTTAATTAAACATATTTACCGGCTTCAAGAATTTATCTCAGTGGAAAGATCCTTCAAGGTATGTTGTTCTACTTCAGGCTCAACAGGTTCAGAGATTAGAATAGTTTCGACTTAAGAACCAAATCCAAATAAGTTGTTTACTGCACTACAGTGGTGATTTTTAATTAAAGCAGTGCTCTTTGCTTTCATATTTTATTGTGGCAATATATTTTTATTACCCACTGTGCTTCTGGGGTTTTAATTATTTATGTAAATATATGACTGCAACTTTGATTCTTGGAAGCCAGGGTGACTGAATCTTTCCCCAGCAAAAGAGGGGAAATGCTGATTATGGCTTTGAAGCATGCCTAATTGATTAAATAACCAAATTGGCAGGAAATACTTGGAGGACTCTATCTAGCTCTATTCCTCTCTGTCTAGCTTTATCTCTTTTTCTATATCTGTTTCTCCATGTGTGTCTATATCTATTTCTCTCTCTCTCTCTCTATTTCTACATCTGTTTATATATCTATCTGTCTGTCCATCATCTATCTATCTATCTATCTATCTATCTATCTATCTATCTATCTATCTATCTATCATCTATCTATCTATCTATCTATCATCTATCTATCTATCTATCTATCTATCTATCTATCTATATCATTTATCATGTCTGTCTATCATTTATCTATCATCTATTTATCTATCTATCTATTTATCTATCATCTATCTATCTATCTATCTATCTATCTATCTATCTATCTATTTATCTATCATCTATCTATCTATCTATTTATCTATCATCTATCTATCTATCTATCATTCATCTATCTATCTATCATCCATCTATATCTATCTATCTATCTATCTATCTATCTATCTATCTATCTATCTATCTATCTATCTATCTATCTATCTATCATCCATCCATCTATCTATCTATCATCCATCTATATCTATCTATCTATCTATCTATCTATCTATCTATCTATCTATCTATCT